CCTGCTGGTGTACCATTGACTTCTTATGTGGGAAGCCAACAGGGGAGGTCACAAATGGCTATTATGTAATGTGGGACACTACAACTGGTCACCAAGTGCCCAAATTTTGTTCATGGGGCACTGCAACGGCCAGAACTTGGAGAACCAGTCATAAGTCCCTTTGTTCAGTGCCCTCATTAACTTTGAATGCCTACTGAACAAATGGTAGTAACTTGAGAAATACCTGTAATGGAAATAGAAAAATAACAAAGAGGTATTCTACTTGCAGCTGAAGATAGTAGTATTTCCAAAGATCTTCAGATCTTTGCCCAGAGGAATTTAGGAACATATATCTTTCTTACTACTTTTTAGGAGTTGATTCTATGATACAGAAAATTAAATTTTGTTTACAGAATTTGTTACAATGCTAGTTGGGGAATTCGAGGAACTGAAGTCCACATAGCTTAAAGTCGTCAAGGTTGAGAAACACTGTCTCAGATTAGCTCTGTCTAGCTGAAACATTAACCTGAATTAGATGATCTATGCAGGGTTGTTACGTATGCATTTCTTTAAAAACAAGGTTGCTGGAATTATTTTTGACAAGCAACTGTCCCTCGCAGATCTAAAAGAAGAAGAAATGGCATATGTTCTGCCAATCCTAAGGCTCTTTCTCTCAAGAAATAAGATGGCTTCATTTTCAATTCTTCCCCTCCACCTAATTTTATAATACCTCTCTCACCCCATGCATGTTTGCAATGTGGAAGTGCCCACTTCTACTTTTCCTCCATATAACTGAACATCACAGGGAACCTCCCAGAAAATAACTACAATGCCAGCCCTATTTCCAGATCTCCAGTTGCTTTCTAACTGATAGTATAAGCATAGTATTTCTTAAATCTCCATCCTGTTTTAGTAAGTTCTTTGCACTCACATCATCAAGTCGTCTGTCAGTACCCAAGGCAAGAAGATTGTTGAATTCTCTCTCCATCACCTGTCGTGCCTGTAAACAATATCAAATAATGCAATAGAAATAATCTAAGCAAATAAAACTATTAATGCAAATTGTTTATTATCAGAACCAAAGAAGAAGATAAATTGATATTTATATTAGTAGATCTCTTCATACTTTTTGGTAGATCAGCAAGATTCCCCTAGTAACATAGGGGTAGGTTTCTATATATCTATTTGCATAACTCTAGTATATGGCATAGCAATTGTGGGAGACTACCAGTTCCAACTAGAGTGTTTTTACTGTGTTTGATTTCACTCATTCGTTTTTAGCTTAATTCCTCCTGTTGGTAGAGCTTAGTGCAAATAAATTAGATCTCAAAAACTAGAAGCTTATTACTCCTGGTCTAGGCAAATCAATTGCCTCCATATAGTTCAGCATACTGTCTCTAAAAATAACAATACAAAATGCCTTTGGGGGTGTTAAAAAAAATGCATTCATCCATATCCTAAAATTCTGAAAATCAGGACTCTGGTTGGTTCAGTTCCAGAGGTGGTATTCAGCAGGTTTTGGCCAGTTCTGGAGAACTGGTAGCAGAAATTTTGAGTAGTTTGCAGAACCGGCAAATACCACTTCTGACTGGAGATTTTACAGTACCCTTCCCCTGCCACACCCACCAAGCCACGTCCACAGAGCTGGTAGTAAAAAAAATTGATTCCCACCACTGTTCAGTTCTCATAATGGTATAGAGATTTCATAGACAGATTTGCATTGAACCGTAAGATAAACTTTCAGTCTCATAGACTCTGGTTACCCTTAAGAGGAAGAAATGTGTAACTGAAATAACTTATAGCACAACAAAGTAACTTTTATTGTATCATTTGTTTTAATTTAATAATGTTAGATTAAAAATCCAAGATAGATGTTTTTCATAAAGAACAAAAGGTTTATTCATTATATGAGAAATAACTATCAACTCTGTTGGTGTGAAACATTTCTTCCTACCTGTGTATTCTGAGTGGGAATTTGTAAAATAAGTGCCAGACTATTATAATCAAAATTTTCATCCAGAGCAATAAGTGCACCATGGACTCCACTTTCAACGATGTTGTTGGCATATTCTCTAAGTCCAATGGATTGAATCCAGTGAATTACTTGATCATTTGTCCAGACCAGCACATCTAGAAGACATTGAAATTATATACATAAATGAAATTACCCAGAAGAATGCTCACTTTTTCTGATCTGTTCATGACATAAAAAGAACAAAATATTGATGTAGTATCTAAAAATAGTCCATCTTGTGTATTCAAGTCATGATATTCTTCTAGTATCGTTTCTGGGGAAATAAGTCCCACTGTAAAATGTCAAACAAGTATGTGCTAATTTATTTATACACCAAAAATCTATATTTATACCTTTCTCTTGAAGACATTTCTGAAAGAAGATGTAGCAGGCAGAACAGAAGTGCTCCTGACATATGGCTGAGATTAACTACACAGTGAATATAAATGAACTCAATGAAAACAAATAGAGTAAAATTCAATAAATGAACAAGTTTAAAATGACATAAGCATCAGCTATAAAATCAGCAAAACCATGAAAAACAGAAATCTTGAGGCCCCTGGCAGTTACCTATACTTTAAGACTACAATCCCCCATCAGCCAAAATCCCTTACAAGGACACATGAGCATGATATATTAAAAAACTGGAAATATATTGAAATATAATAATATAAAAAAGATTAAAGTGATAAATCTGAGAGATTTCAAGCATAACAAATCCTGCTGAAAAATCAGTAATTAGAAAGCCTCCAGAGTATTTCCACTCTCTATAACTAAGAAAACTGATTTTGTAAAACAGCATTGACTAAACAGGGGTCCATATTTCATATAGTGAGTTGACTTTTCTGAAAAATAGAAAGAATAGGCTTTAAAAAACTATAATTCAAAATCTGAACTACAATCATGTCCAGAGAACCAGGAACCTTATGTGGAGTTCTGAGTAGTTCCTTTATTGCTGTTCAGCCACAAAGAGAATATTACCAAATTAAAGCAATTAACTGCTATAATTATAGGTAAACCTCCAGAAGTTTGCCCCCAGAAGTTGTGGGTGCTCCAACACTGGAGGTTTTTAAGAAAAGATTGGACAACCATTTTGTCTGAAATGGTATAGGGTTAGAAAGACCTCCAAGTCAGTTATTCTGTTATACTTTGAGAACTACTAGGGAGGGTCCAACCTTACTGTCTTTCTGCCTCCAGACGTTCCAAATTCTACTGTCACGTTGCCTTCTGGGAAACAGCCCCTCCTTCTTGTGACTCCTGACTATATTCCACTACAAGTATATTTTTGCAGCTTGCCTTGAATTCATTTCTAAATTGCTACTTGCCTTTGATTTCATGCTGGCTTTCTTCCCGCCTCTTCTCCAGCTCCTTTCTATCATAATTCAGTCTTTTGAGGCACATAATCCCATACTGGAGACTTGTTCTGCAACAATGCAACACTTAGAACAAGGCATATCAATTTTCCAACCATTTTTACTTTCAAGAGGTGTACATGTGAATGTGCATTTTTTTGCCTATGCCATAAATACATAGATATTTCTGACGCTATTTCAAAAATACTGAACTGTCTACACTACTCATCCAATTTTCTGATTTTTGGCTTTAATGTAGTATAACCTGAGAGTTTACTAGTTATGGATATGCTACTACTCAGCCTAAAAAACTCTTACCATGCCTGTCATTATTGCTCTTCATTCAAAGGAAGGACTGATAAAAGCCAGAGCGTACAAGTTAAACTTCTAGGATCACATGCAATATATATTAATTATATATATTAATTGTGCTTAAATGATTTAAATGTAAACATACAGTCACTCAGTGCTTTGGATTTAAAGACAAAAAGGTGAATAGGATAGGATAGGATAGGATAGGATAGGATAGGATAGGATAGGAT